CAGCACCTAGCACATACATAGAATGAGAATAAATTTTCAATAAAAAATACATAGAAAAAAAAATTAAAATATATGATAATTTTAAAAACATGAAGACTAATAAAAGCAAAACGAACTAGACCTAGGGGCGGATGCAAAGCATCCAGGATGGGCATGTGTCCACCCTAAAATCTTATTTATACCCACTCCATAAGAAAACTTTTAATAATTAATATGTACGTGTTCACTCTTAAAAATATTTCTGAATCCGCTACTTACAAAAAAAATTAGTTGACCCTATTCTCATATGTAATGAGATAAGGGGAGGTAGGATAGTAAGCTGCCCCCAACGCCAGGTTGAGAACAGCTTCCGTGGGAGACCTCCGACAGTCAGAATTATGAATTGCCCACCGTGGGACTTGATCCCAAGACCACAAGGTTAAGAGCCTTGCGCTCTTACCAACTGAGCTGGACGGGCAATTCACTGAATCTGCTTCTAACTAGACCTTAAACAAAAAGAATCAAAAACCCTAGACAATTTAAAAAAAAAACATTCTAGAAAAGGATATCATGGGACCGTTGGACGAGTTATCCATGTGGTCTTCATCTAAAATGGATCGAAGGATGTTGAGGGACGAACGTATCTTTTATAAATTTTAAATTTTCATATAATCTAAATATTTTTTTATATTTTTAAGCATATGTCCTAATCATATGGACGTCTGTTTTCAAATAGTGTACAAAAGCAAGATATGAAAGAATCAGAGCTTATTATGGCAATGCATTTGTAAAGTAGAAAAAGAAGGGGGCTGAAATGGACATTACTAAAAAACGGAGGAGTGGGGTGGTCCAAATATTTATTGCTGATGAAGAGATGTGGGGGGCAAACATACATTAATTATTCTAGGGACGGGCATGAGATCTGAATCCGATGAGTTTTGATTCGATCATATTCTATCGAATGATCTTTTTTTAAAAAAAATTGGGTTTAATTTGAGTCGGTTCATGTTTTTTAGAGATTATAATAAATCGGGTTTGGATTTAGGGTGAAAATATTCAATTTGACCGGATTAGGAAAAAAATATAATTTTATCTTATATATTTAAATCGGGTTTGGATTTAGGTTGAATTTGGTACATTGACATCAGTAACGGATTCACGTTTAACTGAGAGTGATCACGTAAAATCAAATTTTCTTCGGATAATTATTTATTGAGTAAATTACTTCAAGGCATTTTAATTTTACTAATTTTAATACTGACGTTTATGTTTAACTCTAATTATGTCACCCCATTGTTAATCTCGTTAACATGACGCTAACATGACATCTCCTTACCGTGACGGTGATGACATAAACGGTCTAATTAAAGTCATTTATGATTCAAGATAATTGTTGGTATTTAAATAATAATTTATTTGATATAAAACCCTAATTTGCAGCCCTATCCTTAAATCCCTACTGTTTTCCCCTGTAATCAGCTCAAACAAGACAACCCCAAAGCAATACACGTCAGATTTCAGGGTCGGGGCATCACCTTCAGCTGCAATTTCATCCACTAGACCAGTTCCAAGGATGTTGGCCAATCTGAAGTCTGATCATCTGGGCTCTAAATTCAACTCAAGATGAACATTGCAGGCTTTAACATCTCTGTGGATTATTGAAGGTGAGCAACCGCGGTGAAGAAATGTGAGTGCCCTTGCAGTGCCAAGGGCTATTCTGTGTCGAAAATCCCATGTTGTTAACAACCCGACATTTTGTTGTATCCCATTGTTGTTGTCGTGTAACAGATTCTGCGAGTTGCCGTTTTCCATGTGATCGTAAATGGCAATCCTTTGATCCACGACCAAACAATATCATGTTAAGGGGAAGAGGTTGGGGTGCTTGATTCGACCGAGATACTCGAGCTGCATTGCAGCTTCTTGGTCTGTCAACCTGGATCCATGGACCTAAACTTTAACAGCTACATGGATTTCACCAGGCCCGAACTTCCCTTCCGCTAGTAGAGTGTCTCGGTCGAAATTCGAAGTTGCAGACAAGAGGTTCAACACCCAATCTTCCTTGAAGATTTTCAGTTCAATACTCTCAAAATTTTTAGGGTTTTATTGAGGAAGAAAGGAAGGAGACGACTGTTTGTGTTTATAAAAATTAAAAATTCAAACCGTTATTTAGCATTTATAATAGTTTTGTTAAGTTTATAACAAGGTATTAAGTTAACATGTAGTTAAGTGTTATGGTTTTTAAATGTCTACGGTTCATATCTCATTGAGATCATTTTTCCATCAACATAACGACATCATTTTGAGCTTTTTTAGCATCTAAACGATCGTACCAAAATAAAATAGTTTTAGTGAGGGGGACACGTCATCACCGTCACGGAATAAAAATATCGTGTCAACGTCCCGTTAATAGATTAATGACGAGATGACATAATTGGAATTAAATATAAATGTTAGTGTTAAAATTGACAAAATTAAAACGTATGTGGCATTTTCAATCATGTGCTTAAAGGTCAGGCGATATTTGAAGTAGTTTACCCTTATTTATTTTATTGATTATGATCCTCCCAGGCTTTGAAATTATTTAACACATTAAATTTACAAATAACCCAGTTGCACCTTCCTTGGATCTCTTTGAAAAGTTATATATTTGTTATAATTCTTTCGTATGTTTAATCTTAGGTGGTGTTTGGTTCGTCGGAATATTTATGAGGGAATTGGAATATGTGAAGGAATTGAAATTTAAAGAAATTGGAATCTGAATCTGAAACATGTTTGGTTGGCAGGAAATTGAATTGGAATCCAATTCCAAATTTTGTTTGGTTTGCAGACATGTCAGATGAATTTTATTTCAGTAATGTAAAATAACAGAATTGCCCTTCTTCTTTTTTTTGCTTAATTTTAGTTTGTTTTATAACTTATATATAGCAATATATTAAAAAAAATTAAAAATATTAAATTTTCATTTTATTGATTGATTATTCATTTTAATAAATTATAAAAAATCATACTAATAAACATCATCAGCTAAAATCATCCCAATTAGGGATGACCATGAGTCGGATTTTTGGTCCACCCGACCCGAGAACAAGGGAATCTCCACCCTAGACCCGATCCGACCCGACCCGACCAAACTAAACTTTCACCCGACCCGACCCGAAATAAAAAAAATATTTTTATTCAATAAAAACAGTGACTAAATTGAAAAATTATATATAGAGGGGTATTATTGTAATTATTCCTAAATATATAAGGTAAAATTATATATATTTTTCGGGTCGGGTCGGGTATTTTTTACCCTAAACCCGACCCCGACCCGAATATCACACTTAAAAATCCCGACCCGACCCAAACATCAAACTTAAAAAATCTGACCCGATCCTGAATTTTTAATTAATTTATAATATTTTTAATAGTACGAGACGATTAAAATATAGTATATATTTAAAATTGTTCTTACTCAATTGAGAACCAGGCACGAATATACATAAGAGTGTGAGGGTATTTTTTTTCTTCCCAAATTATCGGATAATAATAATTTAAATCTCTATTAATTTAAATTTAAGTAAAATTAAACTTTTGCTCTCTCCGATCTTTTAGATTAAATACCTAATAAATCTCTATTATTTTGGACTCCCTCGTGATATTTAGGGTAAATTACATATTTAGTATTGAAATTATTAGTTTTGATCGTTTTAATATTTAAACTTTCAAATTTTTTAAAATCGTACTTAAATTTAAATTTTTATTTCATTTTAGTACTCATTCGTTAAAAAAATTAGTTTTTATTTCGTTTTAGTATTCTCGTTCAAAATTTAATGATGAGTTTTGAAAAAAAAATGAGAGTTTAAGTACTAAAACGGACCAAAATTGATAGTTTATGTACAAATCACATTAAAATTTGAACGGTGAGGTACTCAAATGAAATAAAAACTAAAACAGTCTAAAACTGATAATTTAAATACTAAGTGCATAATTTATCCTAATATTTCATTCTAAATTACACTCTACAAATATAACTGCTCGAATCTGATTTTATAGTAAGAATAGACGCGTACAATCACATCCAATACGTGTGATATTAAAAACTAGTAAAGATAAAGGACCAAACTATGTTAACTAAAAATAGAAAGATCAAATCTCATATTTTAGTCATAATAAAGGGACTAGAACAAAAGTTAGACCTTTATGTCTGAAGGAGGGGGTAGAAGGATAGGACGTAAGAAATGATGAACAAATGCTGACGTGGCGTTGTCAATGTAAGCAATGCTTGCATGCTTTGACTTTCAAATTTTAATTCTTCCATTACTCCATGTTTAATAAATTAATCAAATATTTATTTTTATTTTCAATTTTGACACACTTTGAAGTCATAGATTCTGGAATATTTAAATTTATTTTTAATTATTGCCAAATCACGTGTAGATTATTTCTAAAATTTATCGTAATTTAAATTTTATTATATAAATTTATGTAATATTTATTTTAAATTATTGAATCGATTAATCGGATTACTAATGACTAAATAAAAAAATATGTTTATTTAAAAATATATTGAACCAAATTTATATAACACTTACATCCTTTTATATAAAACTTACACCTAGGGAGGGTAACGGGTTGGATTTTTGGTTAACCCGATCATACTTAAAAAATACATATCTTTCACCTGATCCGATTCGATCCGACCCTAAAAATATATATACTTCACTTGATTTTGACCCGGCTTGAATGTTTAGAGTATAAATTTGACCCGACCCGACCTGATCCAGTATAAAATGACTTAATTAAAATAATAATATTTTTTAGAAATTGCATTATTATCCCAGGATCGAGTCGTAATTTTTTCACCCTCCACTCAAACCCAACCTAACCCGACCTCACACCCTTAAAAAAATTCGACCTAACTTGTATTCGATTTTTTTAAAAAAAATTATGACCTTATCAAGTTGAACTGAATCAAAACCCAACAATTCTGGATTAAAATACCATCCCTACTTAAACCCAACATATAATATCGCGTGTTAAAAGAAAAACCTAGCTTCACCGTTGCTGTCCGACACGTATATAGCTTGAGGGGAAATCACGAATGTGGCACTTAAAATTCGCCAAATTCCTGATAACCCAGCTACTTCTATTGTATACTCTGAGAAAAAAAAATATGGAGGACTAAATGAGATATTTTTGCCTTTAGAAGTTCCAAAGAAACGACGCATGATCGCCGACGCCGTCGAGATCATCGTCGACGATTTCGTAAACCGGCGGTGGTTAGAATTGGTAATCCCGACATTGTTGTTGTCATTGAAGGAGGACTCGTTGGCATACCTAGACGCGAAGGCTTGGATCTCGAGCGGGCTAAGAGACCGTGCTCCCGCCATATCCGGAGGGTTGTCGGGGAAGTTGAGTTTCACTCCGCTGCCGCGCAGACAATACTGCGCGGCGTCGAACGCCCGGGCGGCTTTCTCCGGCGAGTCGTAAGAGCCTAACCAAATCCGCTCGCGGCTGTTGGGGAGTCGGATTTCGGACACCCATTTCCCCCATTTCCGCTTCCGGACGCCCTTGTACTTGGAAGAACCGCCGCTCGGTTCGCCGCGTGTGGGGGATTCCGGCTGTGGCTTCACCATGGGAGATTGTTACCGGGAAAAAAAGGGTTTTTGCCCCCTGAATGTCTGACAGAGAGAGAGAGAGAGATGTGGATAATGAAAATGGCGACAAAATGTTTTTTGAGTTCGAAAATCCGACTAAAATGTGGATTAAATTACATAAATAGTCTCACAACTATTAAATATTATAAAACGATCTTCTAATGATAGAGTATGTGAAAACCACGTGCATTTATTATTGGCGACAAAATGTTTTTGAGTTTGAAAATCCGACTAAAATGTGGATTAAATTACATAAATAGTCTCACAACTATTAAATAATATAAAACGATCTTCTAATTATAGAGTGTTATTTTGTTGTGTCCCTCGAGTATTACAAGTTATAAAATGATTATCCGACTATTCATTATATTCCAAAGTCGTCTATTTTCGTTAAAAATGATAGTATTCTTGGCTGAACATTAATCGTTGACTGTGATATAATAAAATTTAATCACATGATCTTGAATGACTATTATATCAAATTCATCATATTAAAATCCAACTTAGACAACCATTAAATTTTCAACAGAAAAGCCGAATTCAAAACATAAAGAATATTCAGGTGATTATTTTGTAATTTTTTAATAGTAAAGTGAGTTAACAAAGAAATATACTATAATTCGAAGAAACCATTTTAGAAACTTCCAATCTAATGGTCCATTGCATCCATGCAAGTGGGGGCTCTTCGAAGGGAACATAAAGGGCCCATAAGACTCTGACTGAATAACAACAGTTGATCTTATTAAGTCCCACTTTTTTATTTATTCGATTTGAAAAATTAAATTCATTATATTTTAAAAATTTAAATGATATTAATTAATTAATTAATTATGAAATTAAATACTCGTATAAAACTAAACCCTACAAATAATCAATTATAAAAATCTGTTTAATAAAATAAATAATCAATTATAAAAATAAATTAAATATGGCTGTCTAACCAATTATAGTGAAATCTGTTTAATAAAAATCATAATATTATAAATAAAATAAATTAGGTTAAAAATTTACTTTTATGTTATTTTTATTATAATATTTAATTTATATTTATTAATCAATGATTCTAGAATTCCAGCCATATGTCCCATCTTTATTGCATGTTTTTAATTTATAATAGGGTTAAAGTTAACTTTTTGATGCTTAATGAATTTTTTTTTTATCAAAAATAGGTACTTAATGTTTTTTTTATACTTTTAGGTATTTATCGTTAAAAAATATGTTAATTGATACGTATCACGTATGTTCATATTTTTTTCACTTAACAATTACTTTTAACTGTAAACACTTAAAAATCTAATGAAAAAAACGTTAGACAACTGTTTTTAACTAAAAACAAATTAGACACCAAAAATTAACTTTAAGTATAATTTAGGTACTTGTTTTTATATTAAGTATCTATTATAAGATCTTCCTATTTCCATTTTGGTACATGCACCCATTTGACTCACCGGTCTCCATTCTGAGTTGGACCGATTCGGTCCTATTACAATTAGAAGGACCAATGTGATGATAAACCTTTAATAAAAAAAATGTGATGATAAACCAAATCTCATGATGATGACTTTTTGAAAGCTTAAAATTAGTCGACTAATCTGAAAAGGAATATATTTAGGGTAAACTACACAAACGGTAACTAATGTTTGAGTACAATTTCGTTTTCCCCATTCAAAGTTTTAAAAGTAACAAACTGATCACTAACATTATCGATTTGTCACAAAATAGTTACTATACCGTCATTTCCATTAAATTAATGACATGAGAATGTTAATAAAATATTTAATATTTAATATTTAATTTTCCCCTAAACAACTGCTAAAACATCACATAAGTCCTTGAATGATAATTTTATGTTGTAGTGATTTAGAGATAAAATTAAATATTAATCATTTTGTTAGAGTTGCAACATAATTAATTTAACAAAAATGATGATAGAGTGACCATTTTGTTATAGATCGATAATGTTAGTGACTAATTTTTACTTTTAAAACTTTAGTGAGAAAAAAAACTTAGTCAAATATCAGTGACCATTTGTGTAGTTTACCCATATATTTATTTTATTTCAAAGCGTAGAAATTCAATCAATGAAACCGAACTAAAGAAGATTAAATTTCTAGACTAGAGAGGTCAAGGAAGTTGAGTGATCTATCAGTCAAAGAATTATCGATATTTAATTCATTAATCGATTAATTTAGATTAAATATAGTAAAAATTTATTATAAATACGATAAATTTATTTTATTTTATTCATAATGTAAAGATTCGATCATCTAAACATACATGTATTCGCCGTCACGAACCGCATTCGCAGCTTCGCTCCTCTCTTCTTCGGCCTCCTTCTCCCACTCCTTCCGGCTCTCGTAATCGTGATCATCCCTCTGCAGCTCGTATCAACAAATCCCGGCTCTCGTAATCGTGATCATCCCTCTGCAGCTCGTATCGACAAATCGGGCAAGAATTGTGCTCGTCCTGCTCACGGAAACCGTTCGGTTAACACTCCATCAGCCCTAAACAAATAGAGATTCATGGAACATAACTTACCGGCCATGGCTTCAGGCAAGGAGGATAACAATGGCTGCGTTTTCCACCGTGATACCATTCGAGCTCGAACGCTAAAATGAATCGGCGGTTGCAGCGGAAGCAACGGTATTCATGAGATTCGATCGGACCAACCATTGGGACCGTGGTGGTTCAGGATCCACAGTAAGATGCCCTTCAGAAAGACAACCTATGGGGCAATAAAACACAGATCGGTAACCTTCAATGCATAAAAAATACTTGTCATAATACGCCATAGATCCATATACTCTACTTAAGTTCAAATTTAGTCCCTATACTTCAATGTTCGTTAAAAATATAAACCCCCAACATTTCGGACTGCTAAAAAATTACAAAGTTTTTAGTTAAAAAAATGATAAGATTGCTCTTTAACTGCTAAAAAATTTACAATTCAAGCTTGACCCCTAAAGAATTTCTGGCTTCATACCTACCAACATCATATGTTGATTAACAAATACCATGGGTCATACCAACATATAATGCGTAATATGATCAGGGACGGAGTGATGATTTTATGTCAAGGGATACGAACTTAAGAAGTTATATTAGAGATTTAAGAGTGTAAAATTACAAAATTTTAAGGAGTACGAAATCAGAACATCAACAGAAAATATTAAAAGAATTTAAACTATATGAGAATTTGAAATTTCTTCTTTAAAATATCAAGAATTACTCTAAACATTTTAAAACTAAATTATAAGTACAAGGACTGAATATCAAACTTAGCTATAGTAAAGGGACCTACGACATAATAAACCAATTACTTTAGAGAAGGGGAGAACAAAAGGTTTTTTTAGTAAATTACGCTCTTAGTATCTAAACTGTTAGTTTTGATCCGTTTTAACACCTAAACTTTTAATTTTTTTTCTAAACTATACCTAACATTTAGTTTTTATTTTATTTTAGTACCCCGATTTTAAAAACTTTAGTTTTTATTTCATTTAAGTACCCCAATCAAAATCTAACGTTAAGTTTTGAAAAAATTGGAAATTTAGATACTAAAACGGACCAAAACTCATAGTTTATGTACTAAATGTGTTAAGTTTTTAACGGTAAGGTACAAAAATGAAATGAAAACTAAACATTAAGTATGGTTTTGAAAAAATGAGAGTTTAGGTAACAGAACAGACCAAAACTGATAGTTTAGGTATTAAATGCATAGTTTGTCCAATATTTTAAAACTGAATTATAAGTACAATGACTGAATATCAAACTTAGCTATAGTGAAGGGACCTACAACATAATAAACCAATTACTTCAGAGAATGGGAGAACAAACGGATTTATTTTTGGCTTATATCACAAATAAGTATATAAATTATTTATTCTTTTTCATTTAAGTACCTAAAATATTTTTTGATCAAAATAAATATTTAAAGTTATATTCTTTGTCAAAGTAAGTACTTAAAGTATTTTATGTCAAAATATGTACCTAAACTATTCAAACTTTTTCATCTAAGTTCTAAAAAGTTGACACGTGACATTAATTAAAGAATACTTTATGTACTTAAATGAAAAATTAGAATACTTTAAGTACATATTTTAATTAAAAGACAATTTTAGGTACTTATTTTGATCAAAAAATACTTTAGATACTTAAATGAAAAATAGAGCATACTTTAGGTACTTATTTATTATAAGCCTTCATTTTTTGTTTAATGAAACTAACCTCTGTTTCTTAGCCTGAGAAATGCAATTCTTCAAGTGATCCTTTTCAGCAGGAGCGGAGACAAGGGATTCCGATAGCTCGAAGAGACGTAAACCGGCAAGCCAGAAGCCAGGGGCGGTGTATCTCGTTTTCAAAATGGTTGCAACTCGACAAACAACCGAATAAAACTGGAAATCAAGCCGACGAGTGTTGAAAATCTGATTATTTTGTTGATTCCGATTCGTAAAACCGAAAGAGGAATTCGGAAATCAGTGCCGATTTGCGAAGAGAGGGAGAAGCGGACGGGTAACGGAGTTTGAGATGTGAATTGATGGCGGGAACGGACTCCTCGAATCTCTGCTTCTTCTCGATCTGTTTCTGCAATTCCTCTAATTGTTGATTCAAGCTCGATTCCGACGAGGAAGATTCCATTCTTTTAGAACAGTAATTAAATTATTGAATATGGAATTTCGTTTCAGCTTTGATCTGTCGGCGGTTGATTTGGAAATCTGAATCGGATTTTGAGTTTGTTTAGGAAAAATAATATATCAGAGTCCCTATACTTTTGAAAAAAAATCAATGTGGTACTCATTATTTTTTCTCAAAACGTGACTTTTCAACTCAAAAAATAAATCAACGTGACCTTTTGACTAACATTTTTCGTCGTTGATTATTATAGTATTGGCATGTCAGTTCATTGTACTGTCATGACTGTCCACTATGTTGACGTGACAGTCCATTTGACATGTTTGAGTTACTAATTTAGTCAATCTGTCATGTCATCCGTCACGTTAATCTGACATCTTGGACTGTCATATAAATACCATGAAATACCATATTAATATCGTAACGGTCAACGATGAAAAAAATGTTGATGAAAAGGTCACATTTGATTTATTTTAAAAGTTAGAGGATCACATTAAAAAAAATAATATAAATGTCGCATTATTTTTTTTCAAAAAAATATAGAGAGACCTCTAATCCTTTTTGCCTTTTTCTTATTAGCATATTTCTCGGCGAGGGGCAACAACGGTGGCGGTGAGCCCTTTGCTTTGATTGTCTAAATATTAATTTTAGACCCTCTAATATGTTAAAGTTTGAAATTTAATAATTGTCATTTTTAAAGGGTAATCTACACATTTAATACCTAAACTATCAATTTTAATCCATTTTAGTACATAAACTTTATTTTTTTTCAAAACCACGCCTAAAGTTTACTTTCATTTCATTTTAGTACCCGACGTTAAAAACTTAATGCATTTAGTACCCAAACTATAACCTTTTGTCCGTTTTAGTACCTAAACTTTCAATTTTTTCAAAACTTAACGTTAAATTCTGAATAAGGACACTAAAATGAAACAAAAACTAAATTTTTTAATGGTGGGATACTAAAATAAAATAAAAACTAAAGTTTAGGTATGTTTTTGAAAATATTGAAAGTTTAGACACTGAAATAGAAATTGATAATTTAGATATTAAATACATAATTTATTCTCTTGTATACTACTTTTATCTTATGCTCGATTAATCTGATTCAATATTATCGTAAAATATTATTAGGAGAGTTGATCCTGTAAACTTAAATTATTTCATTCCTAACCTTAATTTATTTTTTAAAAAAAGTTAACATCTCATTTCCCCAAACTAATTGATAATTCGTAGAATTTAATTATTGTTATTCAAATAATTACATTAATTTTATTAGGGAAAAGTACACAAATGATATTCGATTACATGAAGCTGCTTTGTTGAGTTTCATGACTTTAAAAAATTACTTTCATGCTTTTAAAAAAATTCTTTGAATTTAAAAAGAACATGGTGAAAATAAATAAATAAATAAATAAATAAGAGAAAGATAACATCATATCATATAAATTAGAAGCAAACAACTCTTAATTTAAGATTTTAAAGAGGTAAAATTATAGTTAAATTTAAAATAAAATAGGACTCTAATTAGCTTAAATTTAATTAAATAAAATTAAAATTAAATATAATGAAAGTATAAAAAAAATTATCTTGGGCATATGGGGGCCAAGGCCTAAGTATGCCCATGCCTACCTCCGCCCCTATTTGAGTTACCAACTTAGTCAATCTGTCATTTCATCCGTCACGTTAATCTGCCTTCTTGGGCTGCCATATAAATGCCATGAAATGCCACATCAAAACTGTAACGGTCAACGGCGAAAAAAACGTTGCTCAAAGGGCCACATTGGATTTGTTTTCTGAGTTGGAGGGTCACATTGAGAGAAAAAAATAATACAATGGAAACATTGATTTTTTCAAAAATACAAGGACCTCTAATGCCTTTTTACCTTTTTTTATTAGCAGATTTCTTGGCCCGGGGCAACAACGGTGGCGGTGAGCCCTTTGCTTTTGATTGTCTAAACATTAATTTTAGTCCCTAATATGTTAAAGTTTGAAATTTAATCAGTGTCATTTTTTAAAGGGTAATCTCCGAATTTAATACCTAAACTATCAGTTTTGATCCGTTTTAGTACATAAACTTTAATTTTTTTTCAAAACCACGCCTAACATTTAGTTTTCATTACATTTAGTACCCGACGTTAAAAGCTTATATCGTTTAGTACCTAAACTATCATTTTTGGTTTGTTTTAGTACCTAAACTTTCAAAATTTTCAAAACTTAATGTTAAATTTTGAACGAGGGTACTAAAATGAAATAAAAACTAAAGTTTTTAATAGTGGGATACTAAAATGAAACAAAAACTAAAATTTAGGCATGATTTTGAAAAGATTGAAAGTTTAGATACTAAAACGAACCAAACTTAATAGTTTAGATACTAAATACATAATTTATATTTTTTTAAACTACTTTTATCTTATGCTCGATTAATCTAGATTCAATATTGTAAAATATTATTAGGAGAGTTGATCCTTTAAACTTAAATTGTTTCATTCCTAACATTAATTTATTTAAAAGAATTTAACGTCTCATCTCCCCAAATTAATTGATAATTCGTAGAATTTAATTACTTCCATTCAAATAATGACATTAATTTTATTAGGTCATTAATTTTATCAGGGAAAACTACACAAATGATTTTTTATTATATGACGATGTTTTGTTAAGTTTCATTATTATAAAAAAATTATAAAATGGTCGCTAATTATATGGTACTATTTTGTTGAGTTCCCTAGACTATTATAAATTACAAAATGGTCTCATAATATTCATATGTTTTTAAACTTGTCATTTTCTGTTAAAAAATTAGTGATCATTTGAGTTTGACATTAACATGTTGATTGACATATGATAAAATCTTATATATAACCATTTAAGTTATATTTTATGAATCGACTCTCCATTTATATTATCTCATCGAGCTAGTGTCTGAAATATTATGACGTCGAGCCAATGCTTGAAAGCAACAACGGTGTCAATATACATAATTAAAATACGATTTTATCATATCATATTCACTAAGTTAACATCTAGCTCAAATGATCATCAAATTTTTAACAAAAAATGACGGGTTTGAAATATATGAATAGTTAGGTGACTATTTTGTAACTTATAATAGTTAGAAAACTCAACAACATAGTGTCTTATAATCAAACGATTATTTTATAACTTTTAATAGTTAAGAGACTCAACAAACACCCAATGATCGGGAGACTATTTGTACTTTACCCATTTTATTATTAATATTTAAATATATAATATTTCATGTCAAGTAATTAAGAACGTTTTAAAAAAAAATAGGCTAAGCGATGATAATATATCTAAAATCGGATATTCACCTTTAAATAAAATCATAATTAGACAATTTTAAAATGACAGTCTTATATCAACTTATCGAAAAACCTCAATGATTAAAGGATATATTATTATTATTTAAGGTCATAGATTCAAGCAGTTACGTTTATATGATGAGTACATTATTAGAGATTAAGAGAGATTATGAACAAATATCATCTCAGTCTAATAAAAGAGCATCAACCTTTTACCAAATGGGGTAGGCCTAGAGATAGCGACGGGTCAGGTAAGTTCGGGTTTTCGGTTAACCTGACTCGAAAATTATGTATCTTTTACTCCAACCCGATCCAACTTGAAAATTATATATCATCCACTTGACCCTACCTAATTCAAAAATATATATCCTCCACATGACTTCGATTCAATACAAATTTTAAGAGTATAAATTCGATTTAGGGATGGGCAAGAGACTCGAACCCGACGACTTCCGACCTGACCCTACCCGATTGGGTCAATTTTTTTAAAAAAAATAAAGTTCGGGTCGGGTTTGAGTTTAGGGTGAAATACCCGACTCGACCCAAAAAATTATAGTTTTATTTTATATATTTAGGGATAATTATAATAATACCCCTATATATATTATTTTCTTTCAAAAGCACCCACGATCGTTACCAACACCTTCGGTTCCGAAAAGGGAGGAATCGACATCGAAATTGACACGGGGAACGGAGGAGGGGACAAATTTGACGACAGGAGCGGCGGCGGAGACGATAGTGGGAGTAAAGGAGAAGGGGAGTTCTCGGACGACGGTGGGAATAGAAAGATGGCTTTGTCTATGTCACAGAAATGGACTCTTGGCTATTCTCCTCTCGTCGGAGGTAAACTTCTTGATCCGGCTATTTGACTTGATTATTGGGTGATTTAGGCAGCAATTCAGTACCTAAACTATCAGTTTTGTTCCATTTTAGTACTTAACTTTCAAAAAAAAATCAAAACTTAACGATGAATTTTAGGTATTAAAATGATCAAAACTTATAGTTTAGGTACTAAACTCGTAATTTATCCTAAAATAAAATTGGGAATGATTTTCTATGGATATTGGAATTGCAAATGTGCAGATGTTTCATTTTGACTTGGGGGTTTTCATTTTTTTTGTTAATGTGTGTGTGTATATATAGTGGGTGGTGCTATGGGCTATATGAAGAGTGGCAGCCAGAAATCGCTTGCGGCAGGAGGATTGTCGGCCGCCGTGCTCTATTATGTTTATACTCAGCTTCCCACAAATCCAGTTTTCGCCTCATCCATTGGGCTTGGTAAGTTGCTAATTTCGTATGTTGTTGGCATTTTGGTGGTCTTTATGTTGCTACAAATGATTAGTTTACATATCAAGTGATGAGATTAGTAGAAATGCATGCTTTAAGATCGATTTTCTTGCTTTCGAGGGAAGGAAAGGCGAAAACAAAAAGAGTGATACGAAGTTCTCTTCCATGGAAGAGATAGCGCTTGTCAATTCTGTTGAACTTGCCATAAATGCTGAATTCCGGTTTTCCCTTTTGTTAACTTTAAGAGCGTCTCTTGTGTGGAAAGGTGAGAGCACGGAAGAGGAACGGTATGCTGTTCAGTTTTATTGGGTGAAGTCTAAGGTTCTTCACCATGGTGTGGTTTATGTTACCTCTCAAATGATGAGGTTAGAGAGATGATGCCGGTCAATTAGTGTTGAACTTGCCGTAAATGCCGAGTTCTAATTTGCCCTTTTTTATTCTTTAGAGTACTACTGATAAGATTAATTTTTTTGCTTTTGTGAGAAGGAAATGTGAGAGAGGAAGAGAAAGCGATTGTTGCTCGGTTTCATTGCTGTATGAAAGAAAGAGAGTAGTACCAATCCCACCTTGAGATAGCATGCACTTGTGTTTCTTACCATGAAACTTGAGAGAATTTTAACAGGTGGTTCTACTCGCTGATTTTGATAACCTTACTTATATGGAATAAGAAGTGAATCGTATAAGTACTTGTTCGAATGTTGATTTTAGATGTGAGGCCATAAATAGGATTGAGCTTTTCTCTTGTTTATTATAGCTTCATCATGCTTATCCCCATTTTCATTAATGATATCTGGTTTGAAGGTATATCTGCTGCACTTTTGGGAGTGATGGGCTCCCGTTTCAAGCGATCGGGAAAAGTCTTCCCTGCTGGTGTTGTATCAGTTGTGTCGCTTGTGATGACAGGGGGCTACCTACATGGCATCATGAGGAGTTTGCACTAGTGTGAAGCAGTAGTCATGTTATGCTTACACCACATGGTATTTTGGTATATAGCTAGCCATGTATAATGCTTCGCTGTGTCTCGTAACTTTTTAAGTTGTGAACTTCTTTTAGACCATCACCATCGAGCAACGTGTTTCGGCACTCGGTTGCTTTTGTATTTGAACGCCTTTTCCTCTTTGTTCATGTGATGCAAATTATGGTGGTGTTAGCCAATAAGAAATACTGCATGTATTTTCAGTTATGAAATTTTGAGCTCTTGGAACATTATGCTTAATGATATAAACAATGCATCGTTAATCATTAGATAGAAGTAAGAACCCTTAAATCTTGGGTCATAGGATGCAAGCTTGAGTTATAAATCATATTTTTTTATCATTCTATATGAGGGCATAATTGTTTCAAACTTTCTTTGCCTATAGGTTTTAGTTTGAACCAGAAGGCAATCTGATGAAGCTGCTGCATTTCGAGTCTCGGTTTATTATCGACCATCTGGGATCGGTTGGCCTGTACCTATCAGCCTGTACATTGAGGCCAAAGAATGACCATAACTTGGTAGCACTAATAATAACATGTGTTTAAATGCCGACCCAGTTTAAACAATTTAATGATCTATGGATGCATAGGATGCTAATCGCGGAGAAACGTAATGCTAAATGTTTGAACAATCGCACACGAATTATCAATCTTCACATAACCATAGAACAGAGAAACCATAGATGCACAGCAAATCCTAGATAGCTAAGTTTGTTATATTAGACAGAGTGTCCAGGTTTAGGAAACATCAAAAGTGCCCATGAAGGAAGTGGATAGCCACACCTAAAACCTGTTTAATACTTGCCATCCGCATAACTCCAAAGGCAGATTAGATGCATTCCAGTGCACTTTGCATTTTACTGTAATAACTCGGCTAGGTTTTAGTTTTTATCATTATATATATATAAAGGAATCCTATATGCTTAGCTTAGGCAACATGTGGAGCTTTTGGTTGGAGCTCTTCTTGATGGACGGGTGACGTCCCAAAGCAGACAGACTCTGGTGAAGTTGCAGGGCTGTGGTTGGCTTTGGCGTCATCACCCATTGTTGGCATCGATGGACCAGGATATGGGTTCTTGGTCACCAGCCTACAAAAGGGAACAGACCTGGATTATTCTGCTCGAGGATAGAAGAGATAAAAGGGAAACAGGACTGTAGTTCATATGGAAGGAGTACCTGTCCCGTCGCTTCTCAAGGAAGCGCTGAAGGGAGTGTCTTCTTGCAATTGGTAGTTCTGATCCGATTGATATTCACATAAAGTACTGCCATATTAGCTTACATGCAATACAAATAAAGCCAAGCCAAGAGAAGTTGTTTTAAGAGTTACCAGCATGCAGTTTGCAAAGAGAAGCCCTAGAATGAGGATACAACTGAGCCCGTGGCGATGCTAAGGTGGTGGCAGTGTCAGTTACATCATTCTTCATGTCAACAGTGTTACCAGCTGCGGCAGCAGTGGTAGCAATAAGCATAATCTCTTGCATCTGATAGAAATCAACCAAGGATAAGTTTTCGGATAAACCATCACTCTTAACAGAAGATATTAACATCTATTGTTGTTAAGTAAAAGCCAACCTTTTCCAGAGGAATTGCATCAAACACGCAAACTCTTCCGCCATAGAAGATGGTAAGTTGGGACGGACCGCGATTTGGTGTAATTACTTTTGATGCCGGCATTTGTAGGGAACTTGTACAACAGCAGAACAAAAGCTTCACAACATTATTGAAGCATGCACAAATATGACTAGTGCACTCTTTCCTTAACTCATGAGTGAGATAGCTCTGGTTTCACAGGAAACTTTATAACAACAAGAGTAGATTGCTCTTCTTTTTAAGTTGTCACTATGATTTCATGAACATCTTCCAGATTTTCATCAAAAGAGAAACTATATATGTACTTAAAAGAACTATGAGATGCAAAGTAATCTACGCTTTTGGTAGCTAAACTATTAGTTTTAATCCGTTTTAGTACATAAACTTTTAATTTTTTTCCAAATTATACTTAACTTTTAGTTTTCATTTTATTTTATTACCCGCAGTTTTGGTTCGTTTTAATACCTAAACTTTCAATTTTCCAAAACTTAACTATAAATGCTAAAATGAAATAAAAACTAAACTTTAGATATGGTTTTAAAAAATTAGAAGTTTAGGTAATAAAACGAACTAAAATTGATAGTTTAGCTACTAAACACGTAATCTATCCTAATATTTAAGCAAGACCAGAGATTCAGATCCTGATATTCGTTTATGATCCGTCCCATAATGAGCTTCTATAGTTCTATAGTATCTGATCTTGTTGAGATTCAAGAATATTGAAGTAATACAGAAAACGTATATATCTTTCATTTATCAGCTAGATCTATATATATATACATTTATTCAGCTGAGCTGGCTTAACAGCCTTAACCAACTCTTAACAACTTGCTAACAGCCCCTAACCAACTCACACAACCATATCAACTCAACAACACACGCATATATTCACACACAATCACACTCATGCATTACTAATATTCCAATATTCTTCCTGCTCCTTCGACCCTTTTTTTAACAACAGGGCAATACACATAGTTGATCTCTGAAGACCTCAAACGCTCCATTTGTCAGCGACTTGGTCAGCCCATCTGCCACCTGATGGCACGCTGGAACATAGTTCACCTGAAGTTGTTTAGCTTTAACCTTTTCACGAACGAAATGCACGTCCATGTCAACTTGTTTTGACTGAGCATGGTACACTGGATTCGTACTCAATGCAACAACGCTTGTATTATCACATCAAATGACAGATGGGATTCGATTTTTCACCCCCAACTCACCTAATAGCGAGCTGATCCAAGTAACTTCAGAAGCTGCCTCAGCAACACTTCGATATTCAGCCTCCATCGTAGACCTGGAGACAGTCTTTTGCTTCCTCGAGCACCAAACTACAGGACACGCACCAAGATACACTACATGGCCAGAAACCGATCTTCGGTCATCAAGACTGCCTCCCTAATCTGCATCAGCAAATGCCACAACATCTGGTGCCTTGTTAGCACCTGTAAATGTGAGACCATAGTCCAATGTTCCAGCTAAATACCGGAGTATCCTCTTTACTGCAGCCATATGTAGCTCACGTGGAGCGTGCATGTACTGAGCAATCTTGTTAACACTGAAGGCAACATCCAGTCGTGTATGACACACATACAAAAGAGCACCAACAATGCTACGATACTCTCGAGCATTTGTTAACAATTCACCAGCATCCTGTGTTAATTTTGGAGCACCAATCATCGGGGTAGCAGTAGGTGTAACACCTAGTAAATTTGTTTTCTCTAACAACTCAATTATATACTTCCTCTGAGACAACACCAAGGACTCATTTTTCTTTGTAACTTCAATGCCCAAAAAGTAGGATAGCTCTCCTAAATCTTTTAAAGGAAATTGCAGGTTCAATGTTCTCACCACTTCATCAATAACATGAGAGGAACCACAAGTAAGGATTATGTCATCAACATAGACAAGAATATAAGTAAAGCAACCTCCATTATTCTTAACAAACAGTGAGACATCAGCTAGATACTCACTGAATCCCATCCTGATCAAATTGGTTTTAAGTTTATCATGCCAGTTCCTTGGTGCCTGTCGAAGACCATATAATGCTTTGTTAAGTTTACATACAAGCAAACTTCCATCAGCAGCATACTCCTCAAATCCAGGTGGCTGCTGCATAAAGACATCCTCGGTTAGATCACCATTCAAGAAAACATTATTCACATCGATTTGTCGTAATGGCCAATTCCTCGCAACAGCAATTGATAACACTGTATTCAACGTGGCAAACTTAACAACAGGACTATAGGTCTCTTTAAAATCGCAACCAAGTACTTGCGAGTATCCCTTTGCCACAAGCCTAGCTTTGTGTCTTTCCACAGTTCGATCAGGCCTCCTTTTTATTCGAAATAACCATCTGCATCCAATCACCTCACGATCTGTAGGCATCTTCATAACCGACCAAGTATTGTTTCTTTGCAGTGCATCAAACTCGGCTTGAACAGCTTCTCTCTAGCTAGAATTGTTGAGAGCCTCATAGACATTGTTTGGGACTTCACTCACAGCATTAGAGGTAAAAACCTTTGGTCTGAATATGCCACATTTACTCCTTGTCATCATCGGATGACTATTAACTTGTGCATCACTCAAATTTTCTGCACCTTCTTCTGTGGTATTCAACTCTTGAGTCTCATCATGTGTACTGACTACCTCAACCTGCTCAATATTACTAGTATTTTGACCAGTGACTGAAAAATCACTCTACAGTTGTTGCTCAGCACTCGACACATTATCAGCAGTCTCCACCCGATGACCTGAACTTGCAACATGCAAACTACTTGAATCATCATTTGCATTATCTACTAAATTATGTTGAGACCCTGTGGTGCACCTTTCTCCTTGAAGTCTGCTAACATCAGTAACAATTTCGATTGAGCCAGATGGTTTGTTGGTGGTCGATGTGGCAGCATGTAACTGAGCACATTTCTTTGCAAATGGAAACTGACTCTCATCAAACACCACATGTCTTGTGATATAGATTCGACCATCATCAGCAAGACACTGAAAACCCTTATGCCGAGTACTATAGCCTAAGAAGGTGCATGGTTTGGACCTAAAGTCCAACTTGTGCTTCAAGTATGGTCTCAAATGAGGAAAGCAAAGGCAACCAAATACTCTTAGCTGTCCATAAGCAGGTTTTTGATGAAATAGCTTCTCGAACGGTGATGCACCATGCAAGACCCTTGTAGGCAGTCTATTAATTAAATGGACTGCAGTAACAACTGCATAAGCCCAAAATTTGACACGCGTCGATGCTTGAGCAAGCAGCACAAGAGCTAGCTCTATAACATGACGATGCTTGCGTTCCACCACTCCATTCTGCTCAGAAGTGTGTGGACATGTAAGCCTGTGTGCAATGCCTGCTTTCAACAAGCAGCTCGACAGCCTTCGATATTCACCTCCCCAATCGCTCTGAACAGCCTTGATGGGCAAATCAGATTGCACCTTAACCATCTGCTGGAACATTTCAAATGCACTAATTGCTTGAGCTTTGTCTTTGAGCAGGTAAAGCCATGAGTGTCTGGTACATGCATCAACAAAGGTGACATAGTACTTGTAACCAGTCGAAGCAACATGTGAAGGTCCCCAGAGGTCTGTGAAAACTAACTGAAAAGGAGCATCATATATTGTTGTAGAAGCATGAAATGGCAATTTATGACTCTTTCCCATTTGGCATGCAACACATTTTATTAACACTTGAAGGAAGAATTACATTTATTTCTTTACAAACTTTCAGTAAGCTGTCATGCGAAGGATGTCCCAAACGCTGATGCCACAAGTCATACACAGCTGTAGACAGTTGTGTTGAGTAATTCTCTGCCTTGGAATTATCTTCAGGTGTTGAGCTAACTGCAAAGGCGTATAAGCCACCATCTTCCTTCCCTCGAAGTAAAATTAAACTGGTTTTCTCATCACGTACAAAACACTCATGCGCATGAAATTCAAGGAAAACGTTGTTATCCCTAGCAAGCTTTGACACCGATAGCAGATTCTTGGTTATTCTTGGCACATGCAACAAATCGGTTAACAACAGTACACGAGATGATGTAAATAGAGAAGAGCTACCAACAGTTTGTACATTTAAAACACCACCATCACCAACTATTAATTTACCTGGATTATTAAAGTCCACTGTCTGTGAGATGTTTGTGCCATCAGAGGTGACATGTTGTGTGGCACCCGAATCCACCACCCAGTGTTCACGAGCAACCTGTGACTTGAGCTGATGGGCACCAGATTTTTGACTGGTATTGCAATCATACGAATTATCCTTGGCAGCATAGTAAGCATTTCCTGACTCAACCTTTGAATAATTGTTGCTGTTGGCTGTAACACCAGGGAAGTCTTCATCAAACCGATGCCAACACCGGTCGACTAAATGGCCATTTTTGCCACATAATTGGCATTGCAACCGAGACCGACCCCGACCTCGACCTGTCAATCGACCACATGAGTACATTTGACTAGACACAGTGTTACGATCAGACGGATCCACAGTCTTACTTGACACTTGCCCTTGAACCATATGTGCACTCATAGGAAGTGACTCAAGCGGATCATAAAATCCTGCTAATTGAGTCTCTGCATCCATCAGCATAGTGTAAATAGTGTCAAGAGACACCGACTCACACATGGTTGTTATGACAGCCACAAAAAGTTGGTACTCACGAGGTAACCCCTTTAAAATGCTCGCAACATGCACTGCCTGTGACACAGCACTGTCGCACGATGCTAATGCATCGCACACCTCTTTAACGCGAGTAAGATAAACTCGCATGGACTCGTCTCCTTTCTTAAGAGACTGAAGCTTGTAATGCAAGCTGATAACCGCCGTTGTGGATCTATTCGAGAAAAATTGAAGCACCGTGCTCCACACAGCAGAGGCTGTTTCAGCACCCACAAACTGAGGTAACAAATGTGGACTGATTGTTGACAGAAGCCAGGACGCAAGAGCACTATCCTGAGCCACATATTCTTCATATAACTCGTTCAATACTTCCTCACCAGAATCACTAACCACCGTTTGTGGCGGAGCAATCATGGAGCCAATGAGAAGCCGTTCAAGTTTATGGCTGCAACCGGTGAGAAGCACTTGTTGCTTCCACAACAAAAATTTTGATTCATCCAATACGACATTGACTCTTTTATTCGAGAAAGCCTTAGCATTCCTCGAGACCCCCTCCATTAAAGAAGCAAGCTGATCAACGCTCATTGTGAGGACTCTTGTCAAGCAGTGGAAACAGAAGCAAGTCGTCCGGATCGTCCAACGAAAGATACCATGTTGAGATTCAAGAATATTGAAGTAATACAGAAAACGTATATATCTTTCATTTATCAGCTAGATCTATATATATATATACATTTATTCAGCTGAGCTGGCTTAACAGCCTTAATCAACTCTTAACAACTTGCTAACAGCCCCTAACCAACTAACCAACTCACACAACCATATCAGCTCAACAGCACACGCCTATATTCACACACAATCACACTCATGCATTACTAATATTCCAATAGATCTAAATTAAACAACTAAACAACCTTTTTTAAGGTAATTAATTTTGCATTAAATTTCACAATTGATTATTGGGAATTTCACAATTGATCATTAAACAGCTGAATAACATGACCTAGGTCCCGAAAAACAAAACAATTTTCTCTTCTTTTGTTCCCACAGAATGGAATACAGTTAAGCTTACCAGTTCTGGAAAATCTTCCGGGAAAGAAAATCAAGGGTTTCAACGGATCCCAGATCTGAAACATCGTTGTCGGCGACGATATCTCCGTTAGTCCCATCAACGACGACGACGTCTGGCATGACTTCCTCGCGTGATTCAGCTTCTTCTTCCATGGAAACAACCAGAGTTTCCTTCCGTTGATAAACTCTCTGATTTCTCACTGTCTGGGCAGTGGCGGACCAAAACTGTGTGTTTTAAGGATGTGGGCGACGGGATTAATTAAAGAACGTGAAAGTGAAAGCAAATGAACCGATCCAAGGGTCGTTGTTTTCATGGTTGATACGTGTCTAACATTTATGACCGTTTTCTTTGTTCAATCAATATTTTAATATTATTTTATTTTTAAATTTTAAATTCGAATAACTGTATTTATATTTATAATTTATAATACATATATATTATCAATTATTTAAGAATTTTGAATAAATATTACGGTAAGCTAATTATTTATTCGGTGATATTTTAGTAGTTTGATCTTTTATTGTGATTTATTTATTGATGTTGTTCGATTTATTTATATCTTTATTTTCCTCAAGTTTTTTTATGTAATTTTAATATTTTCCAAAGATCTTATCGATAGAAGTCATTAATTTTATTTAAAAAAATAAAATATCATGAATTATGACGGAGATTTACAAGCATAATAGTAAATTAAATACATTACTAAAATATTTTCCTAAAATTTTTGACATAAAATTAATAACTTAAAATCACATGAGACCGTACAAAGGAAAGATTAAAAAGCTTAATCAAAATCAGAACAAATGATAAATATAACAAATATGATCGCATTGATAAACGAATCATAAAAGAGGATCGAGCAATTGAAAGACTATCAACAAAACTGTAAATCAGAGTCGAGCGACATAAAAAAATTATCCATGAACACAAATAAAATATCCAAATCCAATCTGATGGTTCAAAGTAGGAAATATCAACATGATAACAGATAATCGTTATCTCGATCAATCGTGGTGATACTGATGTCAAATCAACCCTTAAAAAAGATAAATGAAAAACAATGACCAGACGACTGAAAACATGTCAAAAGACAGAGAAAAATATATCATAAAGACAAATAAAAATGTGTCATAAAGATAAACTTATTAAAAATTAAAAACAAGAGAAATAAAAGATGTGATATAAAAAAAATACAAACGGCCGACATCCAATATAAGATAGTATACGTGAGTTCAAACCATTGACATTCTCAATACTTGAACTTGGGTACTTAAGGAATAACGATAATTCTTTTACCACATATGCCACTGATACGTGCAAAAATATATTACATTTTTGCAATTTGAATTACTGGAAAATGAATTACTAGAATTTGAATTCTGGAAAATGAATTACATTTATGGAAAATGAATTACATTTTTGGAAAACATCTGGAAAACGTTTTATGATGTTTGGAAGATGTTATTTAAACATTTTTCCCACTAGTTGAAGAGTTTTTTAAAAATTATTTATTACAAATATTAAATGTAATAAATAATATTATTTATCATAAAATTAATATTATTATTTTAAAATATTAAAATAATTTATTTATTATTAATATTATTTTTATAATTTATTAATAAAATATTAATATTGGTATATTTTAGTGAAATAAATATTATAAATTATATTAATTATTTATTAAAGTAATAGTGTTATATTATATTTTAAAAATATTAATTAGTATATTTAAATATCTTTACTAAAATATTATTTAAATATATAAATAATATTATTCATTATTAAATATAAAAAAATTATTATATATTATTAAATAAAAATATATATCTTATTATATTATTATAATATAATTGATTATTTTATATAATATTAAAAATATAAAATTATATTATTATAAATATTAATAAATATATTTTAAATATTTTAATAAATAATATTTTGATGAAAATGATATTAAAATATTTTATTAATATTAAATTCATAAAATAAAATTATTTTGAGTATTTTTGCTTTAAAGTGAAAAGTTCGGAAAATAACTTACGGAAAATGAATCCGTAAGTCATTTTACAGAAAACACAAAGGAAATTCTGTTATTAGAAAAATGAATTACATTCCAGAGAATGAATTACGTAAAACAAACACCGAAAAATATTTTATGGAAAACGAATTACGTATTACGTGAAACAAACACGGAAAAACATTTTCCGAAAAACGAATTACATGAAACAAACACGAAATTTTAGGGAAAACCAATTCCGTAATTGGTTTTACGGCAAACAACATACCCTAATTATGCATTTAGGTTACACTTATGGTTGTAAACCATCATTGTAGTTTTAATTTTTTTAATAAAGTCAGGGAATCTATTGCTTCAAAAAAATACTTTAAATTTTTTATAATTTAATCTTATTTTTTGGTATTATTTATTTTATTAATATAATCATTTGATTTATAAGATTATAAAAACAGATTAAACCTATAATTTTTAAATATAAATGATTAATTTTTTTTAAATTATCTTAAATTAAGATTAAACCTATAAATTTTCAAAAAAAAAAACTACTTTAAATTTTTTATTAATTTAATCTTTATTTTTTGGTATATTTATTTATTTTATTAAATTATGGTTTATAAATTGATTTATTATCGAAAATGATTTAGTATTTTCCTGCTAAAGTACATCCTTTCTATATTCTAAAAGCTTTAATGTTATGCCTTCCAGGTCTGGGGTAGAATATGGACTGTCCTTGCAGATCATTTCGTTTCTGCTGGCAGCCACGCTGATGAGAAAATTGTCATGTATGCCATAGATTCTTTGAAGTTATACTGGAACACTTTGATCAAGTTGTCGGAGATTGTTTATGGACTGTGTCAACTGTCTTATTAGGTTTTGCCAACAATAAAGCTTCCCACCGTATAAGTTTGAAGGCTGTGGCCCTTCACCGGATATGTGAAGATCGTCTAGCGGAGGTTTGCTTTATTCTTCAGCCTTATTTGTTACTTGAGCATGTTGTTCTCCCCTCTTGATATCTTCCATTTTAGGACTAAAACAGTCAAGAGTATGGTCTAAAACTGGCCATGGTTGCCAACCCTTCTACCGAGAAGACTTTGTTAATTATCTCTCTTATGATCAGCATGCTGCAATTTTTTATTGAATGGGAAGTTTTCTATGAACTCTTTGGCTTAGCTCTGGGGAATACAAAGTTAACATTAGCTGTTTCATCTCATTGATTATTTGAAACCATGATTGTGAATTTGCAACTTCCCGATGCGTTCCTTTCTTGTAATTGACATCTTTGTTGAATGCTTCAACTTGGTTTTCAATTACAGGGACGTATACCTGGTGGGGCTCTTAAACCAGTTAATGTCGACGCTGACACAACATTTGATGTAACTGAGCGTTATTGGTTCCCAATGCTGGCTGGTTTGTCTGACCTGACATCAGATTCAAGACCAGAGGTTAGGAGTTGTGCAATTGAAGTTTGTTGATTTGCTGAATGAAAGAGGTGGCAAGTTCTCAACATCATTGTGGGAGAGCATTTTCCACCGTGTCTTGTTTCCCATGTTTGATCATGTGAGACATGCCGGAAAGGAGAGCTTAATTTCCTCTGGGGATGTGTTGTTTCGTGAAAGCGGCATTCATTCTCTTCAGTTGCTGTGCAACCTTTTCAACACCTTTTACAAGGTAGACGTGTTGTTTCGTACACAACACAATCGCATGAGCTACTCAGTGCATTAGGACTAGAGAACCCAATGTACTCCTCGATTGTAAGAGATTTAAGGTTCATACAGACGGTGAAATTTATCAGTTTGGTTCTAATGATAATGGGAAGATTTCACCACATGCATCCCCATGCAGCACAAGGAATGCTAATGCATCTGTTTCACAAGATCACAATCAAGAATTACAATATATTCCAGATGGATATGAAGGTTAGTTGTTGAGAATCTTTCGCCTTAAGAATCATCTGTCTAATGTTTCACGAAGTTTAATTAACTGATCATATGCATCAGTTAATATCATTCATATACTGTTCATACAACCCAATCTGTACATTTGAATCTGTCCTTTATTAAACCTGCTTAATATATACATTGTCACTGTTGTAGGTGTACCCTCATCATCAGGTAGAGCTCATAAGTCCGCTGAAGCTGGGAGTCTCCAACGAAGTCAAACAATAGGTCAAAGAATCATGGGAAATATGATGGATAACATATTTGTTAGAAGTTTTCCCTCAAAACCAAAGAGTCCTACATCAGGGACTTCAGTTCCATCTTCGCCGCTGAAGGTACGCAAATCATCTTTGGTTGTTGTAATGGACGTCGTGCTATCCTTACTTGAGTTTGCCGCCTCATACAATTCATATTCTAACCTCAGAACCCGAATGAACCACGTTCCTGCAGAAAGGTAAGAAAATGTTTCCTAATTTCGTCTTTTACTATCACTCTCAAGGTCAAAGAACCTTGCTTCTAATAACTTGTATCTTCGCAGGCCCCCTCTAAATCTTCTTCGTCAGGAGTTAGCAGGAACTTGTGTTCATCTGGATGTCTTGCAAAGAGTAACATCGGGACTCGATAGCAATAATGGACAACGTCTAGAATCTAATGGGACTCGTGACACTGCTGAAACGAAACTGGAGGGAATAGCAGAAGAGAGGCTGGTGTCTTTCTGTGAACAGGTACTCAGGGATGCAACCGACCTCCGGTCTACAATAGGGGATACTAGCAATTTGGGCATTCATCGGGTTCTGGAGTTGCGGTCCCCAATCATCATTAAGGTACTATATCAGGAAAACGAAGAATCGATACTGAAAATTGACATGGTTTAGACTATGTCGTCGATGCAAGAATGTTCAGTAATTAATGTATTAGTTACAGTGGGTGATAAGAATCTTTCTTCCTTTTGATCTTGCAGGTGCTTAGAGGCATGTGCTCATGAACAGAAAGATTTTCAGGAGACACCTCAGCGATTTCTATCCTAGGACATTATTTAGGGATTTAGGGCGGAATATAGTATCCGGTGAAGTCGTGTGGTGCTTGAGAAGATATTTAGACTAAAGTCGTCGGCAACGTTGCCGGAGCTGGTAATAGTTATTGAGGACTTTAGTTTGATGCTATTGTTTTGGGTAAACTATGTATTTAGTATCTAAACTATCAGTTTTTATCCGTTTTAGTATCTAAACTTGTAATCATTTTCAAAATCATGTCTAACGTTTAGTTTTTGTTTCATTTTAGTATCTCGTCATTAAAAACTTAGCTCGTTTAGTACATAAACTATCAGTTTTGGCCGTTTTAGTATCTAAACTTTCAAAAAAAATCAAAATTTAATGTTAGATTTTGAACGGGTGTACTAAAATGAAATAAAATTAAATTTTATGCTTGATTTTAAAAAAAAAATTAAAAGTTTAGGTACTAAAATAAGTTAAAATTGATAGTTTAGGTGTATATGTATAGTTCGAGATGAAATTAGAATGTTTAAAAAGTTTAGGGACTAATTTAAAATGAAGGTCATAGTTTAAGGAAGTAATTTAAATATTCAAAAGTTTAAAGACTAATTTATAATGATAACCATAGTTTAAGGATAAAATGAAATATTTAAAAGTTTAAGGACTAATTTAAAATGAGGATCATAGTTAAGGACATGTGATAAAATTAATTCACTCTCTAATTTGAGTAACAATAGATTATGTAGGAAAATCTTCGTCATCGGCAACTACTACTACTAAATATACAATGTGATATGGACAACGCTGTTTCCGGTACTCAAAGCACGCTGTCTTCCAAAACTTAAGATTTGAAGGCCGGCTGCTCCGATCGTCATCCGATATGAAGAGAAACCGGAACCTCGAATCAAAGGGTACGATAGAGAAGACCGAGCACCGAGGAGCCTCCACTTATTGCGCGATAAACAGCTCCTAACCATGGAAGCTTGCTGCGGCGATAAGAATCGACAAATCCATTCGGGTAAAACCGAGTCTTCCACGACTCCTTTGGCGAAGCAATGCAACAGTTTTGGCACCAATAGCTTCCCTTTGTTGCTTATGCCAACGGATGCCTGGATGTAATCTTCCATCGATTGCTTTAGCAACTCGCTCGTATTTTCGGGACTGAAGATACGAACCTGAAACGGGAAAAGTCGGTAAAGTTAGAACCTGGCCTCAATCATATCGAATTGGAAACTTCATTGTTGGTTTCGTTCTGATGAGAATACTAGAGGCAGATGATGAGGTCTTACAGCAGGTGAAGAATGCAACCCGCAACTTAAAGCGAAATGAAGTAGAGGCTCGGGGCGATCGATCGTATACTTCTGCAGCTCGACGGAAGCCTTGAGTTTCTGAAGTACGAAAACCGCAGCCTGAAAATGATTATGATCAGAAGTTAGATATGACATAGAATACTGGTGTTCGCGGTTTTCTTTCTATTTTCGCATAATATTCGGTCGCACGGTGCATGTTTCAAAATTTGGACAAAGGTGGTTCCTATGGCATCGCATGGTGCATGTAACCGTAGATAAATGAAGTAATAATACGTACAATTTGTGGCCGATAAGTAGCCGGATTCATCTTTAGAACGGTGCATTCTATGTCAGCCGCACTCACCGAGAGTCCTCCAACCGTGTAGGCAGCCTGCACATTATCATGGTGTACTGTTAACATCGGTCCGGTGCAACATTATGGGGGAGGGTTTTAAGGGTTAAAGAGGAAAAATTCCGGCATCGAACCTTCTGCATTAGGGAAAATAGTTTGATTTCATTTCTCGGAACTCCGTATGCCAAATATGCCTGCGAAATAGAGACGGAGACGGATAAAATTACATGAGATGGTCATAAACTGAGGTCTTAGACCATGTCCGCGCTTCTTCTAAACACGACTGCATAGATCGGAAAGGTAGAAGCGTATTACATGCATAATCAAAGCATTGTACAGGTTAATCCAAAATGCCAGTTTCTCGTTGTAACTCATTCGAGACGGATCCACCATGGACAACTGCTCAACAAGCAATCTGCAGGCGAAAAAAGCAGAACGATAAAAGCAATCTTCAGGCTGTCCGTAATACGTGCATCAATTGCAATTCTCTAGTCTAAACTCAATGCTTAGAAGCCAATGAAATGAGGATATAAAAGCTAGTCTAAAAATACGATACAAATAGTTGACCTGAATCGTTTTAGAGCCGTAGCGGCATATTCGAGTTCTTTCTTCCCAACAGACAACCACGAGACTTCAACTGCTTTACTGTAGGTCCCAATGTCACAGCTCCAGTCGACTTTGTCAGAGACTTCGTATGGATCGAATGCACCACCTCCCAGGGGACTGCTTACTAAGGAAGTTACAACGGGTGAGTCCGAGGAAGATGCCAAAAAATTGGCAAGGGGACAGTGAGGTGAAGCGGGTGACACCGAAGAAGAAGAAAGCATCGATGAATCTGCTAAGAAAATGAAAATGTCTCTCATACGCAGTACCATTTCCTTGGCTAGCTGATTGGGATGATGCCAAAGGTTCTCCACAATTATATTATCGATAAAAGCCTCCGACAGAGGCATGTCGTCCGTGTTTTCTTCGGCTTCTTCTCCATTGCGTACCCTTGCATTCTGAAACATACAGATTGTTAGTCGGCTTTCGTTCCTACAGCAGATGTATTATAATGCCTTAAGGAATAGATGACAGTACCGATTCGGTTATGTAACCCGGAGAGTTGTTCAAACGTGATGTTGTGTGACACGGCAAATGCTTTAAATGGTACTCGGCAAGACGCCGCTCGTTCCTCTCCTGACTAAGCCGATATTGTAGAGAAACAAATTCCTCCTCAAGCTTTGATACAGTAATCTCCAGAGCAGTTATGCTATCTAAAAGCTCTCGGGCCTGAAATCCGGATTTAGGAGATTGAGAGATCATATAAATAGAAGAGAAATCGCACACACGGCGGCTGACCTTATCCGGAAGCTTGCCCGGAGAACTAGTAGAAGGTGAACCACAGTTTTCAACAGCACTTGCTAGAGCTAAGTGCAAATCGGTCTCTTCCTGCAACTGCTGCTGCAACTTTTAACCTGCATGAGAATGAGATATAAATATTTCAAAACATATGCGTCATGATCAAGGCATGCTCAACATTCATCAGCACTACTGTTATTCTCTATATTTCGTATTTCTCCCTCGATCGAGTCTACCGTTGGTTCGTTACGCCAATGCTGTTGCGGAATAAATCAAATCAACCTTTGATAAGCTCAAGATATAAGATGACCAGGAGTTAACCGGCATATAGTTGTAGACTACAAAAGAGCTCAATGCCTAGAACCCATCTTGCCTCGGGTGTTAGTAAAGCGAAACAAGGGAAATGCTCTAGAAAACACCGATCATTGCACGTCCCTTTCGATTGCCACTTCTCCGACTGGTACAAATTGAAGAATCGAAAATGCCGAAAGGAAAATGAAATTTACAACAAATGACTGGAGTCTTTATGTACCATGTCCATGTGGTAGTTAAGCTCTAGAAAACACTGATCGTTACATACCCCTTTCGATTGCCTTACCTAATACACTTCTCCGACTAGCACAAATCGAAGAAATCGGAAATGTCGAAAGGAAAACGAACTTCCCAATAAAAGACTGGAGTTTTTAACTGATGAACCATGTTCATGTGGTGGTTATGCTCTAGAAAACACTGATGTTTCATATCCCTTTCGATTGCCTTACCTAATACACTTCTCCGACTAGCACAAATCGAAGAAATCGGAAATGTCGAACGGAAAACGAACTATACAACAAATGACTGGAGTTCCTATGCACCAAAGAACCATGTTCATGCGGTGGTTATGCTCTAGAAAACACTGATGTTTCATATCCCTTTCAATTGCCTTACCTAAAACACTTCTCCGACTAGCACAAATCGAAGAAATCGGAAATGCCGAACGGAAAATGAACTATACAGCAAATGACTGGAGTTCCTATGCACCAAAGAACCGTGTTCATGTGGCATTTAAGCTCGAATAACCCTAAACCCGACACGAACCCTAAAACCTAGCAGGCAAGCTCCATGAACCGATTTCAACGCTCACAAAATATATATGCAAAGGGACAAATAAAACCATTCTTACTTCTTGCTCGAGCTGGTGTTTATAATCACAGATCTGCTGACTTGTCTCTTGTCCACTCCTTTCCTGGTGACAGAAAAATGAGTCCAGAATCCAAAACTCGGTAAAAGCAATAAACAAAATTACCTCCATCAACAATTAGCATTCTGGAAAAATTACCTCCAACTCAGAACACGAGTTACACGACTCATCTCGGCTGACAATGACTTGCTCCAAACCTTGCCACTTTTCCATTGCAAATATCTATTAATAGAACCTACCCTGCAAAAAAAAAACCATTAACAATACTGCATTCACCATAGCTAAAAACACAAGACAAGAACACATAAGCATCAAATGAAGAAGAAGAAGAAGAAGAAGAAGGGACCCACCAGTTGATTGGAAGAACAAGCCCCCGTTATTACCACCATGGCAATCTCCATTAGGACTTTGAGGAGGATGAAGACGATCTTCATCCAAAGCTTCAGGCTTTAAACAAAGCATCAACACAAAATCTAATGAAACACAAAACACCAACCCCAAAGATTCAATTTTTTTCCCTTCTTTTTTTCAGTTGAATTTCATGATCAGGTCTTATTGGACTGCTGACACAATAAATCCACCAACTAAAGACTACCCCTTCAAGACAAAAACAAAATCAGCCAAGAAATTATTGTTTTTCTTCAACTGAGCAAAGGAACAAAAGAAACACAGGGAGAGTGGGGTACATAGGGCCCTTATAAGGGGACGGAATTGGGGTCTAATATTATTACTTTATGGTAATACCGAGTCATTGAGTTGGGGACGAATTAATACTGAGCCCGGTGCATCAGTTGAGGCAAATGTGGATAATATCATATCTCACTCTGTGCTTCACTCCTCATTCGCCGACAACACTCACATGCTCTGTTTTT